CCGTCAAATAATACCTTCGATCCAATTTTAAATGGTTAACCTCTATAAATTTGTTGCCTGTTCACCTACATAAGCCGACATGTACAAATAAGGACTGAAGCACCCCCCCCCCCCCCTTGTTAGGTCATGATGGAAAAAAATGTTCCATTAATTGTAATCTCTGTTTTGTTGCTCATTTGTTAAAATGTAAGAAGCAAACCCTCATTCTAAGTTTAATTGACCGACTGGCAATTCAGGTATGTTAGACTAGCATGTTATGCATAGATAAGTGAATGTACATCTAATAATTATAAAATTTTTTACAAGATTCAAAATGAATTAATGCAGCTTTGCTTATTCTTATAGGTTTAATGTCAGGGTTGACAATAGGTCTACTGTCACTGGATGAAATCAGTCTGAATGTTCTGAAGGAAGCTGGAAGCCCACAGCAGAAGAAATATGCTAAACGAATCCTTCCCATTGTAAAAAGGCATCACCTTTTACTGGTAATAATTTAAGATGTTTTAAAGGTTTAGTAATTGGAAGGAAGTTATATTATATTATATTATATTATATTATATTATATTATATTATATTATATTATATTATATTATATTATATTATATTATATTATATTATATTTCCCCAGTTTTTCATAAGAATTTACTATTTTACACACACATGCACAAATGCATGCACAGACTCAGTCAATTTTTTTATACCAGTAGCTAAATTATTTTTTTACAAAGTATGAAGAAAATGGCATCACTTATTAAAATTATAATTATAAAAATTATTATTATTGTGATTATATGCCAGACAAAATTGTCTATATGGTGTCATTTTAAATGGATGATTAAATTATAATTATTGATGTAATTTCATTTTAATTTTAGGTAACGTTGGTGCTAGCAAACTCAGCATGTGTGGAAGCCATGCCAGTGTGTCTTGACAGGGTATCTGGTCCCATCACTGCAATCTTAGTATCCACTACAGCTGTGGTACTATTTGGAGAGTATGAATATTTCATTACTAAATGTAATTTTGAAAAATAGTTATTGCTAAATACATTAACTTACATAATTTTGTTTTATTTGGTGACTAGTTATAGTGTTTTGGCTTAAAATTACTGCTAAATATGGTATCTGATTGCTATAATCATTCAAATTAGATACATTTTCTAGAATTTTTCTTGCCACCATTCTCCATATGGATCTGTGTACGCCTTTCTGGTGTCAAATAATAGCCAATTGATTTCCCGTTCCCATGGGAACATGTAATAGCTTTATGGGATATATTGATATACATTTCAGAGTTTTCCCCCAGGCATTATGCACAAGATTTGGCTTGGCAATTGGGGCCTATATGATGCCGTAAGTAGAGTTCATTTCATAATCCAATGGATGTGCCTGTACTACCTGTATTTTACTTTCCCGTACAAAAATGTTTTTTCAAAACGTTTTATAAGAGATTTTAGTCAACTATTTTTTGTCAAGTTGCATAATAAAGATATATATTTTTTATTTTTATTGTTAATAAAACCTGTGGCAATATTCAACATACTTATCATGTACCAGCATAAAATATTATTGTATGATTTTTTCAACTATATTTTGTAAATTTAAGATTCTTAACATGCATATATTACATTGTTGGTTATGTTTATTTATTTAACTATTTATTCATTCATTTAATTATATACCCCCAGTATACGAATTTGCATCAGCTTTTTAAAATATTAACTGGTGGTTTTAATAATTCAACTTTGTGTAATAATTTTTAATATATCTCACAGTCTAGTCTATACCCTGATGTTCCTGCTATTCATTGTGGCCTGGCCCATAGCAAAGCTGCTGGATCTGCTCTTAGGCAAGGAGCATGGCACGTTTTATCGCAGAGCGGAACTCGGGGTACTGGTTGACCTCCATGCTGATAAAGCTGGGGGTGGTGAGGAGGGAGGTGAGGAGAAACTTACCCTTGATGAAGTACTTATTATTAAGGTAGGAAAAATATACATGCATGTGTATTCCTGGTACACATATTGTACGTCTTATTACATTGTACATGTACAATATATGGTGCATGGATATGTGGTTAATATACTGTACACAAATTTTTCACATTAAATAAGATACTGTGTATCAGAATAATGTCAGATCTTTTTTTAAGTAAGAGAGGAAATAATTGATTTTATATACAAGAATGAGGCAGAAAACAGCCATATACACTTGCACATGCATGCACAGTACTAGCACAGTGTATATATTGTATACATATACATGTATGGATATGTGCTAATACTGGTGCATTTACATACACATACATGTATACTCATCACAGTGCACTAAACCTCATAGTCCTAAATCTTTTTTTCTGTGTCAGATGCCACTTTTCTGATCCATCTACAGTGTTCATGTAAATCGGCCCTGTAATAGTCTACATATTATTATGCTACATGTCATTCTGAATCCATTAATTGACAGACAGTACACAATTGTATTCTCAACTCACTACTGTAGAGATATTGATTTGTCTATTTAGGGGGCCCTGGAGATGAGAGATAAAACTGCCAAGGATGCCATGGTACCATTGAATGATGTATTCATGCTAGACATCAATGATAAGATGGATCTTTTGACTATGAATAAGGTTAATTGCAAAAATTAATCTTTTTCTAATTGTTCCGAATTATTCAGTGTTAATGAAACTTAATACTGTATTTAGTACTAATATATTATTTAGTGTTTCGGGTTCATATTTTCATACCTTACATATGTGTGAAAATGGTGTAAAAGACATTATAAAAGAAATAAATATAATTGTTATAACCATAAATAATGCTTTGATGTACGTGGAATTATAAACCTGCACATGCACAGGTACTATTCAACCAGATAAAAAATTATTTTATATTTCAGATTCTAACTGCCTCTCATTCGAGAGTTCCGGTCTATGATGGGGACAAGAAAAACATCATTGGAGTTCTTCTAGTCAAGACACTAATTACTCTGGATCCTGATGATAAAGTTCCAATACAAAGTTTGAAAAACACAAAGTCATGGAGAGATGTGCACTACATAGAGGAAACCAAACCACTGTATGATTTACTCAATGAATACCAACTGGGAAAAGGTAATGTATGTACACCTGTAGCTATAAGGGCTCATACCCAATAAAACTGCCAGTCTAGGTAGTTAATCCAACTCAGACGGGACTCCCGCTGAGTGCAACCGGCTAAATCTGCCTCCTTCTGGTGTTGATTACTGGTTGAATGCAGAAAATCTGGTGATTATACGAGAACATTTAAAACAAGAGTAGGCATGTTAAACTGATTGCATTCAGTCGTCATGGAGTTACAGGTTTATTGTTCTACCTTGATCGATAGTTTCAATGGAAATGAGCCCTTCAAGAAGACAAGTCTATTTGCCAGGTGCATTTCCTAACTGAAATGAGATGTTTGAGATTTCTTGTAAACTCTCAGACATTAAAAAATGAATAATTAGCCTGTAAACTCAAACATTTCAATTGGGCAGGTGTTTAATTTTTTTTGTTGAATATGTAATCATGGTTTAATATGCAAAATGAATGTTTTAAATCATTAAATGGTGTGTAAATATTTTAGGTGCACATGCTGCTATATCTGATAGTGCATTTACAATTTTTTCTTTCATAGCACATCTGTCAGTTGTCTTGGCTAAGCTTGATGAGGAGGAAATTGTTTCTGCCACTACCAAACAGGTATGGTATTTTTTAGACAGATACAGATCTTTTGCTTTGTGGATAATATTCTAATATTTTGATACCAAAAACTCATAACATGTTATCATATAAAACAACACCTTTCATAATATTTGCAAACAGTCAATGAATATTTGGAAGTAATCATTATTTTTCATAATAATATCATTTTCCCCAAATGCACAAGTACTAGTAAGAGCATTTAAGTGTTCAATCTGTTGAATTGAAACTTCACAGACATTAAACCCAAAAATGTAGTGGAGCACCTGTTTTTTTTTTTTTTTTTTAAATTTAGTCTTTCCATCGCAAAATATGATGCACTTTTAAAATACTGATTTTCAATATTTGAATAATGAAATATAAATTTATTATATTATTTTCAAAATGATAAAAATGTTAATATTTTATCACTGCAGACTGTTCTTGGTGTCATAACACTAGAAGATGTGATAGAAGAGCTGATTCAGGAAGAGATAGTTGATGAGACTGACGTCTATGTGGATATACACAAGAGGATACAGGTGGCCAGGGCCAAGGTGGCAAGGAATCCATCACTTCTTCACAAGCATCCTGTAAGTTATTTTAAGTTCTTGAGCTGATAAAATTCTACATTGATGCATTTAGATATACCTGTAGAGTTACATTCAATTTATAGATAATGGGCACTCTGTACAAGACTGAACTTGTGCAGTATATAGTGGTATACACCGTACAGCACATGTACAGGGGTATAGTTTATGCTAAACAGTTTATGTAACCAGTACAAGTACATTACGGCACTAGTACTGGTACTTACTACAGGTAGTACCTGTACAATTAAAAAAGCCTTTTAAAACTTTTAATATTTAATATTCATATCAGCATTTACAATCGAAGGAAAACAATTTTTTCTACATAAGTACATGTAATAAGAAAGCCAAGCAGATTACTTTTTAAATGTGGAGCATAATATAAACACTCAGAAAAACTGTCTGGAACTGTAGGTCTGTCATTTACATATGTATCATATTTAGAGAGACAAAAAAAAAAGACAAAATCATTGTGTTTGTTGGGCATATGTAAAATGGGTATGATGGATTCACTATAGTAAATGAAACCACGATTCTTAAATTGACTCTGGGCAGCATGCATTTAAAACTAACTGGCGGTTGAAGATGGTTTAATTATTGACACTCATCTACAGGTACTTACATGTACATGTTATCCTAAAGTTAAGATCAAGGAAGTAGATATGATATACAAATAATTTCTTGGTTAAGATGCATTAATTAACATGGTGAGGGAGGGATGTGATCGTGGGTTAATGGAGAGAGAATTCAATGATTTGGTTTTGAAAGGTTCATTTGATTTGTTTATTTTCCACTATAATGATTATGAATTTTGGTAATCTCTCTCCCTCTCTCGTGCAATGGTCGAATCCACCCTTGGCGACTTATGATGTCATTTCCAGTGTCCGATTCCTTGCTTTGTCCCCTATTTTTCTTTGTTTGTTCATTTGTGTGTTTTTCTTTAGTTGGTTTAGGAACAGGAGCCTTTGTCTACCTCTAGTTTTCTTCCAAGGCATCTTTCCAGCCATGATGAGGTCCCTGAGTTAGCCTTTTTTATAGGCATGTCTGATTCATTTTATCTGTCTTTTCTTTGTAATTCTGAGTTGTTGTCAGTTTTGTCCAACTCGCTTGAGAACCGATATGTTAGTTTCATGAGCATTATATGAGATGTGCATTTGACATATTAGAACCACATTTCTGCAGCCTCTCTGTATTTAGTCTTTGGAGCCTAGAGAGTCCATGCCTCACTACTGTGCAAAAGAATAGACCATACAAAACATTTGAGAAGTGTAATTTTTAGCACCATTGATATTCCCCGCTCTTTATATTGCAATCATTTGATTGAAACTAATTTTTGCCATTCCTATTCGTCTTCTTATCTTCTTTTCACACCTTCCATCCAACGTCAATATTGACCCGAGGTAGTTGAAAGAATCAATGGACTTGTTCAATCAGGATTCCATTGAATACTAGGTTACATGTTGGAGGTTGACTTTCAAAAGGTCTTTTTGCAGTTGATCTGCAGTCCAGGAGATAACCTTACTTAAATTAAGAATTTTTTTGTGTTTTATCCAGAAGACAACCATACTGAAGGTCTTCTTGTAGTTGATCTCCAGTCCAGGAGATCAACTTAAATTGAATTAAGAACTTTTCCATGTTTCATCCAGAGGTTTGTTGAGAGAAGCAAGTCCCATCCCCCTTCTAGTGCTGAACGCCGTGTGTCAGAAGACTTGATTGATGCTGTCAGTGAGAGCCACAGGGAACGGGCAGCCTCCACAGGGAACATACAAACTCTTCCAGAAAGAGGCACTAGTGTGAGTAATGTGCAAACCCAGGATGAAAAGTCAAATGTAGATGAGAACAATTCTTCCAGTGACCAAAACCATACTAAAGACCAGTCAGATTTACCCTTACTGAATAAGGATGTCACTTAGTGACTTGAGGATTTTTTTTTTCAAGTGGCTTATTTACACTGAAAGAAACTAAAAAAAAAACAAGACAATGAAAGAATTTTAAATACAAGACTTGTGCATGTTAACAGCATGCAGTTTGGAAAAGTACCTTTTGTCCAGTATTTCTTCTAGCCTTTTTTTAAGGAGAGGAAGAAAAGACTTACTTTTATTTTCAAATTTTAAAATAGAATTTTAGCAGCCACAGTCAGCAAGCGGTTGATTTTCTTAGATCGTATTGGCTGTACAGGTTGATGAGAAACACACGTTCCTGGTCGACCATTTTATCAATGTTTTATCAGTGCTACGTTTATGTTAAACATGCGCGCACTGGTCTCTTTGTTGTAACATTAGATCTGCTCTGATACCAGTATTTAATTATTTATTTACAAGCTTTACTTTTAAAACTTTTTATTTTTATTCAGCCTGATTATTGAATTTGGAAATGATATTTTACACATTATTTAAATTTTTTTATTATTTGGATTATATATTGTAGTTACCCGTACTTTATCAGTACTGAGTTGTTGGGCAAATGTTGAACTTTCTGTCAAAATGAAAAGCAAAATAAAGATGTTCAAGTGAGGTGACTGAATGCGATAGAGAAGACATCTGTGATTGCATTTGCCACTGAGAAGTTTTTTTATTGGTTATGAATGGGATGTACTTGCATGTGACAAGTATTTGCTTTGTTCTGTAATTCAGTAAATCTAAATGTTATTCTGATCATAAACATAACAGACATACATGGAAAACGAAAACTTTACGTTGAACTTAATATTCAAAAGTTTAAAAGACATATCCACTAAAATTTTAATCTCTGCCATTTACTGTATTGGTAAGTTAATTGCCTTTAAAATGCCAAAGAAGAATGCTTTTAAGGCACCTCAAATGCCTAAATGCTGAAAGGAGTTCAATTGTGGCAAGTTTTTAAAGTCAAATTTGAATCCTATAAGATGTAACAGTTGGGCATATTTTGAACTGTTTGATGCTCACCTTGTCCATTGTGATGAAGAAAATTTGCTGACTATATAAACATGATGCCAATCAATTCCATGTGGATTTTTTCAGTTTATAATTATTTATTATTATTGTCATTTATTTATTTATTATCGCTATTTGTGATCAGAATTCAATTTATTCATAAATTCAATGAATCCTCCAATGGGCATTTGATTTCTTGTCGTTTGTTTCTCACAGTTTGCAGCAGGTCGCCACGGCCTTCACTCCTTGGTTTGGGAGGTCGCGCTTCTTGCCATTTATAGCAAGGCAGTAGGAATTGCCTCCCCAGGTATCTGCAACATGTAGAATACTTCTGTTAGTTGTTTTTTAATTACCTACGCAATGTCCACATTTTGCATGGTGATGAGCAACGTTTTAGTGAAAAATTACTGTTTGGTTACTGTACCTATGTTATTTAATATATAATAAGCATACTAACCAAACGGTATCTGCTTAACGTTTTTCGTTCATAAGGTGCATATATAGCATAGGGCAATAGTACAAAACGGCGTATCATTTATTCTCCATGCTGATAAGTTGTTAAATTTGTGAAAAACAAGTGCCTTTTTGTGGGAGGGTTGTTACCTGCAAAGGCTCCCGCAGTTCCCCCAAACTCATTAAAGACGTTACACCCAGTGATGGTGTATCCAGTATCACAGGCCACGTAGGTCACATTGCCGGCAAAGTTTCCACTACGACTGGAATATTTGGTGACACACGACAGACCGCTTGCCTCACAGCAGGCAGCGTGGGCATACACACCTGCGAGGAAGAAAATTGCTATTGATGGGATTTGAAATGCAAGTTTTCTTTCTTATACACATGTATCGATAAGGGCAGAATTGTAATTTTTAAGGAGAGAGAGAGAAAATGCAAGAGTACTACATTTTTATATCTGCAACTTAACATGTAAGACACCGTATTCACTAAGCATATTTCAAAGCACTGTCATAGACAAAATCAGGCCATCCAGACTTCATATTGCATACATACCGCTGACATTTGATTACGGATACCAATCACAAATGCATCCCGTTTCATTAATAAGTATATATATATATCCCAAAATATAACGCTCACCTCCGTGTGGACCGCCATTTTGCGCTACACAGGAGCTCGTGTCCATTTTGGGGTTAGACCCGTCAAAGTCCCTGTGGTAGGTGTGTGTGGTACAACCTAAAATTGGATAGTAATTTGAATGTCTTTCACAGTCTGAAAATACATGAATTAGATGTTATTACACCTGCGATATAAATTATATTCACCTGTCGGTAGTTTGCCACTGGGGCAGGTCACTGAGGCTTGCTTCCCGTCTCCTTTCTCTGACGCTTGTGAACTGTGATAGGAACACTGAAGCTGTGAGCTCGTCTTGCAGCACCGGGCGATGGCCTGAACAGCGGCCCTGGAGCCGTACCCATTGTGTGCCCTGCAAACCCGTCTTCCCGTGGCGGCATTCCAGGCGTACACTTCGCCGTCTCTAAGTGCTGAATTATCCTAGAAGTACCAAATGAATATTATGTGTATTTCATTTATACATAATTATATAAATTAATTATTAATGTTACTGGTATCCTAGGGTTGGAAAGGAAAGAGTTCCTTAAGAATTGATTGTCAAATGAGAAATGGGTATGTTGTAAGGGAATTTTGTAATATAAGTGCCTGGTTCTCATTTCCCAAATAATTGTTAATCAAACGTGTGGAGATCGTTAAGAGTGGGGTCATCCTAACCTCTCGTTACATTCCTTTTGCAAAAACCTAGTTAACAAAAGTTATGGAACAGAACCTGATATACGGTTCTGACTTAAACATACTGTTATATTTTACTATTAATCTGCTTTAATGTTAATTAAAAAAAAAACTTCAATCCCGCGTGAAAAAATATTTTTTTCTAATTTTAATTTACTCACGGTTGCCCTGGAAGAACACCCAGTCATGATTTCATCCGCATTGCACGATACGTCGGTAGGTTTGTCATCACCGATGTCCGAATGTCCTGACCACCTATTAACACAGGTCAGTCCTGACGATAGTGGCACCGGTTTGGTCGTTGTCACAGATGCACTTGTAGGAGGGGCTGAACCAGTGTGCATGTCAATTTGCATGGTGTCTCCAACGGTTATTTTCTTCTCATTTATGGGCGATCCGTTGTATTTCAAAGTTATGGTGTAGTCGCCCTTGAATACTGTAAAATGCGTGCATCAAAAAGAATACAAAAATCTATTGACAACATATTGGAGAACATTTCACTAAGAGCAGTTACATTGCACAATATAGGTGTACTTTGTGTTTCAGTTTCTAATCTGGGCTCTGTAACTCGAAAGCATCGTGAATTACGAGGCTTTCGAGTTATGCACTTTCGAGGAATCACCATGCTTGCGCCTATTCGCAATGCTTTCGACTTACGGAGCCCTGACTTCAAGAGGATCCAAACGAAACTCAAAATGTGTCTTATCGTAGAATCTGTTGAAAGTTTTGTGTGGGGTTGGAAAGGGCCATGTACCTACACGTGTGTGCCAATGTTGCTACAGAAATGTTGATCTCGTGGATTAAGCTTACCTCTCAGTCTCAAGGTGCTCGTTCTCGAAGACGGCTTGAGAACGCGGTTGGTTTTCCAAGTTTTAGTCATCAGTTGCTGAACTCTCTGTCCCGCTGCATTGAGCTGTAACAAATTATAAGATCAAATTGACTGAAAAGCGTAAACAGATTGCAAATAATATATAAACAGTAAACACGCATCTTTACCTTTATCTTTATTCTTCATCATACTTCTCTTAAAAAAGTCAATACGGAATATTACACAATAACAACAGCTTACCTTAAAATCATCCCCTACTCCCTGTGCAATATTCACATTGGCTCTCCATGCGTTTCCATCATCATACCATGTCCAGAGCACTATCCCCTCGACCCCTGGGTGACTGAACAAACACGTCATTACATCCTCATAGTAATCTGCCCTCTTGTTTACGTCTTTCCCCTCTATATCCAGTTCGGTTACCCATATTGGGATCCCGGTGAGCGCAAGTTTGTCCAAGTTTTGCTGAGAAGAAATAAGCAAAGTAAGGCAAAAGAAGTCTTTGTTTAGAAATAGCATCCACTCAAGATGACCATTTGGTATTCAGATGTAAAAATATATAAAAAATGTACAAGGTGATATTCTCCTTTATAAAATTTCTAAGTCTTTGAAAAGTGTAAAATTCCATCCATGTGAACTGTATACCTGGATTTTGAGAATATCTGGAGGTCCAGCTGGAAAGTGCCCCTGGACTCCAATACCTGACAGCGGCAGACCTTTGGCCAAATAATCTTGGACCATCTGAACGTATGCCTGTGAAAATAACCAAGAATACTGCTACTTACATGATGTGTAAATACAAGTCTTCTTGTCTTTGGTACAGACTCACCATTGGTGTTTTTATTCATGTAGTCATGAACAATTCTTAGGTATTGTAATTAATTGAACTATGGTGTCACATAAGCGTAGGAGCCTATGGCGGGCTTTTGCCACCCACTTTTTTCAACCACCTCATTCTACGTGTAAAAGCAGGGAGGCTAAGAGCTCCACCCCCCTTAGTTTTTGTCAAGTTTATAACTCCCACACACACATCATTTCAAATTTGCTTCCTACAAGCCTGTATAAAGTGTATTTAAAATATCATATCAAAAATGATTTAAAATGCATGATGGAAAACGAGTCACCTACATCAGTGATGATTCCGGAGCTGATAACATTGTATTCGTTATGGAACAGTTTGACTGTTGGGTCTATGGCGTGGGTCATTTGAAACATCTTCTCTGTGATGGATCGATCTCCCGTGTGTCTCTCAAACCAGTCGCCCTTTCCAGCGATGATCTCGTTGTTCACGTCCCAATGTTGTAAGCTGTACAACGAAAACGAAAGTTTTGTTACGGCTTTCTTTAAGTTATAGAATAGCAAGTATATGACTGATGTGCGATAGATAGCCACATTAAAAACGATGACATTAGTGTAACAATCCTTGATAAGTTGGAGGAACCGTCTACCGTCTTTTTGTTAGATTGGAAGGTCAATTACAGAATGAGTGTATTTGCAAATTACTAAACACGAACATTCATGGGGAAAGGCAAAAAAGTGCCATGTATTGTTTTTATGTTTTTGTTCCTACTGATTCTCCCTTCAAATACGACACAAATATATATGCTTAAGTTCCGTAAGTCGATTTTAAAATTCTTTACTTTGACCAAAATAGAAGAAACTATTAGGTATACTTACTCTCCTTTAAAACGGCTAACCACGTCGTTAATTCTAGTGTTAATTTCTGACTTTATTTGATCCGCATTCATTGTCTTAAGCCAGCTCGGAACAAATTCCTCTACGCCCCATACGACATTGTGGCCTCTGATCTTCAAACTGAGATTTAGCGTTTGAATGCATAAAATAATTCTAATTATGTTCTTTGTATTTTTTACATATTATCATTAAAGAAGGGGGAAGAGACGAAGACGTTATTCATCGATAGCGATTGTTAGGGACTTCTACTTACACATGTCCTTATAGCAGTAAGCAGTAATAATCTTTAATATACTAAAAAGAGGAAAATGGATTGTTTTAAGAAACAACAATGCAAAGGTCACTTTCTATTCTGACTATTCTGCATCATATGTATTAAGTATATACAGGTAAACATGAAACATGTAAATGTAACTGTATTATTCGGATACTTACCCCTGCGACAACAACTTGGCTATTGCTTTTCGGGGTCTCTCATAGTTAATGGTTCCCTGACAAAGTACAAGAACCAGCAATTATAATGTTAATGGTGTATCTAAAAAGATTGTTAAGTACACATGTATCGGTTAGTAGTATTCCAAATGCAGCTTGGTGAATACCTTACTATTGAATATTGAATATTATATCCAACATATGCATGGTACACATGTATATTATGTAACCTTGTATAAGAAGGTAGAATTCGGAGTCCTGTGATCCAGTACTACAACTAGGTTTTAAACAAATCAAAGCAGCCAATGTTACTGTATGCTCTATATTGACTATTCTACAGTTTGTTTCGATATTTTTTAAAAATATATTTCATAGTTTCTAAAGCCATGTACAAGTGCTCCTTTTTTTATAAAAAGACTCTCCAAATTTGCACATGAAGCCATCTAAAACGTGTGCTTTGTAATGGTCGCCCAAGCATACCTTATTCCACTGCATCATCCTCCATTTTAAGGCATTTTCCAAGGTAGCCCACTCAAACGTATCCCCGACAAATTTTCTGTATTTTGATGCATTATCTTCTACGTATTTGCTAGCTTTCACCGTGCCGCCAAATCCAAACTGACTCTTGGTTTGTTTTACCTTTTTTAAATATATAACGTACAAAAACTGCCTAAACAACAGTGTCAACAATCTGAAAAAAAACCTAGAAAAGACTCTTGCATGTTTTTATAATTTTTATCATCATTCTAACAAATATTAAAAAAATTATTTAAAGAAAAACCGTTTGAGATTCTATACGTTACCATATAACGTGCCCGTCTTGGAAATTAAATGTGCACAGAAATTTAATGCACACTGACTTAGACGAATACTAGACGTGTCCCTTACAGAAGTTAACTTACCTGAACTTCTACGTCTTTTAAATTGTATTCAGCACCAACTGACAAACTACGAAATAAAAAAATTCATCTTATACCTGTTATTGGACAGAATATATGAAAATTATCTTTTTTATTTCAGACATGAGCTTTTTCCGCGAAAAGGCGGAATTACGCGTTTTTTAATTCAATTCTGATGGTTATTGAGAAACGTCAAGGTTAGGTTTTGGGTCCCATGATAAATGTCCAGAGATTTGTTTGTTTAACCTAGGCGCAAGTCTGTTTAATGTAAAAGCAAAAACACTCCACTCGTAAAGGCGTAAGTCAAGTCTCTTATGGGTCGCCTGTCATTTGTGTTTCAAAACATAGAATTACGCGAAGAGGGGCAAAAAGACACTCTGCCAGGGCCTCCGATTAATTTTAAGTATTATTCTTTAACGCAAGAAGTAAAGTGTCATAAATTAACCAGAGCCATCTGTGAATATGTAGTGAAAAATCAATCTGTGGCTCTGGCAGAGGGTAATTTTTTCTGCTACTATTGACTGTAAAATGTAATCATACTCGGTAAATACCATTTTAACATTTATTTTCAATTAAGACTAACTTCAATTTAAAGAAAGAAGAGGAATATTTTCATACTTAATGGCAATATCTGCCTTTCTGATTTGTTCAATTCTTTGAAGAGCATCGGCTTTCCAATTTCTGCCAAGTTCTGGAATCAGTTTCAAAGACGCGCTGTCGACGAGAAAAGACACCGATGGATCGGAGCCCTGCAGGTAAATCTGGTTACTTCTGATGTCTGAATAGCAAGCATAGAAAAAAGTTAGTTTTTCCCTTAAAAAGATTCTTTATTATTATTTTTTCTTATGAAGATACTGGTGCTGAATACAGAGAATACAGCCAGACTGGCTGTTTGCAGTATTAATCATGAAAAGTTAATGAGACGTTCTGATATAGACATGCACACAGTATAACTCGGATTACAAGTAAACAGCGATTAAGGTGAAATTGCAAGTGTTATCCAATTTGAATTAGCATAAAAGTATAAGATAAGATACGTTAGCAGTCGTATACAGTGTAGAAAAGCATGGGGCCCTGCTGGTAAACGCCCCCTTTAAGTTGGATCATTGCCAAAGGACTCTGAGACGAGACAATAAAGTTGTCTTCAATTGTTTTAACTGGATGCATTTGAATATACTTTGGAGAAGAACATGACACGAGTGTGAGAGAAAGGTTCTCAATGTACAATCTTTTCTTGAGAGGGAGAGAGAGAGAGGCTGACCTTTATTACCAGGAACCCTGAATGATCCACCAACTTCTCTCCAAGAATCTGCTGTTCTCATGTAGGGACTGATGCCAATCAAAGCATATTGATCTTTACCTAAATATTTCAAATTCAAACTTTCTGAGATAAGATATAACTATGCTTGACCAGACAATGCCAATATCAAATTCTAATTCAAGCCAATAAAACGGGCGGATGGAGGCCGTCTACTGGGTCTTCCGGAAGACAGTCAGAATTTTTCAAGTTTACATTGACGGGCATCTAATTTTTTCTATCGGAAGACAAAGACAGGGATATTTTGGAAAACTGTCTGAAATATATCTGGATCCGCCCCTGTAAAAGATGAAATATGCAGAAATATTGATAACCTCTTGCAAACGAAAAACATTTATATTGGATGGGATGTGCTACCGAGGACATTTCTGTAAATCTATCAATTTTGTTACTTTAAGCCATTAAAGGCCACTACATCTCCCTGTCACAGCTACCAAACCGTTTCTCTATATGTGATATTACCATCGGTGAAGACAGTGTGTCTTATCGCCTCCAATCTGGTGTGGAGAACCCCCGCCTCATTGTTCAATAACTTGACGTAGGCTTTGAACTCGTAAAAGGCGCCCTTGTTGAGTGACACCGTTTGGGCGGGGCCGGACCAGTAAGCTCGTCTTTATGAGATCACCAAAAATAAATTGAGAATTATTACAATATTATTTTTAAAATCCATAATTGTTTACTCGTTTTTTTTTTCTTACAAAAAAAGTGGTTCCAAGTATTGAAAATATATACTGCCAAAGACCATAACGCAACGATTCTTGCATTTTTCTGCTTTTCTGGAAGTGTTTCAATAATAACCATTAAGTATATATAGGAAACCACAGCTAAACCATCGACATCTAAGTCTCAGTTAAAGAACCCCTGCCTTTGATGTCTGTTATATCCAATCAGTGGTGCTAAATTCATCCAAACAAAAACAAACGAAAGAAGAAAACAGTCGTATACCTGTTTGTCACTTTGCCACTAAATAGCCCAGTGTGACTATCACTGGACCGCCCCAAGGTGCATCCCCTTGAGGATTCATGTTGATTCACCGTATAGATCTTGGTAATAATAGAAGTATAAATATTTTGATGCATCTAGAAAGATCTACATAATAGTTGTTGAATACAGTCCGAGCTTTCGGCCCCTGGGCCTTCTTCGGGGAATAACTATAATAACTATAATATTCCCCGAAGAAGGCCCAGGGGCCGAAAGCTCGGACTGTATTCAACAACTATTATGTAGATCTTTCTAGATGCATCAAAATATTTATACTTCTATTAAGGTGCATCCCCGACACGACCAACTGCCTTGGAAGTTACCGTTTTCAAACCCAGTATTCTGCAAAAGTTCTTGGCCCGACAGCAGTGGGGTGACGACAGCTGTCACCCATAGAAACACGAAGAGGTTTTCCATACCTGTATATAATATTTTAAAATGAACTATAACTGTATCCCTACCACTGTATTAGGAGAAATGTCAAGGTTGGCTGTAAGGGATTTTGACACTGTCCATGATCGCATCCTAAGTAAAATGCTATTGCAAACACGATGTCTCCCAAACGTTCACGTTATCACACTTTAGTAAACAAACTCAGCGTGAATATATAGAACTCAATCTTACGTGTATACTATAGCTGTAAGAAATATCCCTTATAAAACCTATTCACCCCAACTTTAGCGTCTTTTCTATTGTTAGATCAGTGGCTTTCTTAAAATATTTTTCTTAGAAACTAACTACATACTTATTGTGAAGCTTTGTCGGACACTCGAAATTATAAGCCCGAATTGCACCAAAATAAAGAAACCATATCTACAATTCAAGCAGGTCGCAAATTATGTTTGATGTACATATTTAAATAAAATCAAGTAAAAATTTATTTACTTCAAAAAATACAATTTATACTAACCTGATCAGGTGTGAAATGTAGTATACCCTGCCCTGCAATCCCGCTGCTTAAATAACGTACTTGTGTCTTCTATCTGTAACTATTTAGACGGCGAATATGTCCACAAAGTGTTATTTACATAGACGATCAAACACGGACTGGTTGAAGTTTACATAAAAAGAGGATTACATGTATTAGGCCATTGCTGGTTATTTCCGTGTCTGTGCGCGACTGCTAGCACGAAAACTCATTTACCGGTAGTATTCTTCTTTTGCTTTGGGCCATACGCCCATCGGCTCAATAGATGTACAACAAAAGGCAACAGTATAAAAAAAAACTAAAGGTAAAAGAAAAAATAGAAAAACAGGAGACCTGAATGCATCACTCCTTAAAAGAGTAAGTAGATTTTCAACATAACGTGTCAGGAAGGGGTGATACGGATCACAAGTGCTTTATGCAGAAAGTTGGTTAAATTGCTAAGTATTTTTTTAATTTGGGGAGTTTTAAAAGAAAGCTTTACGAGTTTGAACGTGTTTGAATTAAAGAAATCGTGTTATGTATATATATATATATATTATAGCACAGGGAACTGTAAAGAGGGCACTCAAAAATAGCGTTTGTCGTCTGTTGAGACTAAATCTCTGCAACCGATACGAAGAGTGTGATTAGTTAAAGAGATAACAACTGTTTTTAATATGATGGAGGCTTCTTTCGAGGGTCTAACAACATGGTATATTAACCTCGAAATCAATGATTATCTACTGCCATAATATCAGTTTAGTTGACCATGAATGAAAGAGTCCCGTTATTTTACAGTGTCTTCTTATACATGTTTTTCACATATCTTTGAACAGAAATTGCATATTGAACGACAGAAATACAGGGATAAGGCAGACAAGATAGAGGAGCTTTGTTTATTATATTTAACCAGATACCCCGTATTTTATCTTATTTATTTATTTTATTTGTTTTATTCGAAATCATGATAATAAATGGATCATTTCAAATAGTAGTAATGGCAATGAAAGTTGCCAGGCGATTTTTCTTTCCCTATAGGCGGCAGCACGTGATGACAGCGATGACACCTTGGTTTGGTGAATCCCGCTTCCTGCCATTAACGGCAATGCAGTAAGGGTTAGCTGAAAGATTCAAAACCACGGTAAAATTAATTAAATGTACAGCTTCAAGGTCGACTCAAATCAAATCAAAATCAAATAATCATTTTTCTTTTTCTCATTTTTCTCAATCAAAGGATATTTAAGGCAAATATAAACACAGCAGAAAAAGCGCTGATCCGACCAATGTCTTTCTACTCCCTCTCAACGTAAAACATGGTTAACTTAATTTGTCTTAAACTTTGAAAGAATTTAATCAATAAGTATGCATTTACATATATAGGCACCGGCGATTCCTCCGAACTCATTGTAGGCATTGCACCCTGTAGCAGCATAGCCGTTGTCACACGCTACAGCGGTTTTGTTTCCGACAAAACTATCACTTCGAACTGAAGATTTGGAGACACAGTGGAGTCCGCTGGCCTTGCAGCACGCGGCGTGGGAATACACCCCTGAAAAAATGTAATCGATAATTGAGGCGGTCATGGCATATTGACATGAAAACATCTTACATGTAGCCAATTTTCCTAGACTTACATGTACAGGTACCAACTGTCACGCCTTTGAGTTTGCAAATATATACACATTTATTTGGTTCATGTTTTTTTACAGGGATTAGTTTTTCTTGGATTTTATTTGCCATAAAAACGCGACCCAAACACACACACACACACACACACACACCACGCTGCTCTGAGTAGGCCTACTTACCGTATTTTGGGTTTTTAAGGTCATCGTTCTCAGCTACACAAGAACGAGAGTCTACTTTGGATAAAACACCAGCAGAAGACGAAAAAGCAGAGCGACTTGCACACCCTGGAATAGCGATTTCCATACTTTTTTTATACTATAAATTTTGCTTCGTAATTTATTTAATGCCTGTTTTTTTATAGCGGTGAATTATGTAACATTACGTTTTTTACAATATTATCACTACAGATATCATTCAAAAGACACCATACATCGGCTATGCTGTTAAACTAACTGTGTTAGCATTCATTATCATACAAGTACTACGTATTATTGGTATTGTCAATAAGGAATGACAGAGTTTTTGCCCTTTACATGCACTTTCAACAATGCTTACCAGTTGGTAAATATCCAGTCGGACAAACGGCAGCGGTCTGTTCTCCATCACCATTTTTAGAAACACGTGAACTTAAATAAGTGCACTGTAGATCAGAAGGGCCCTTACAACATTGGGCAATGGCTTGAACAGGGGCTGTGGAACCGAATCCATTTATAGCTTGACATACTCGCTGTTTGATTCCTGTATCCCATGAAAACTTCTCCCCGTCTTTCGTTTCTTGGTCATTCTAGAATGAAAACGTCAAATTGTGATTTATCATCATAAACATCTGTCGTACCAAAACTATCCGCCTGTGATACTTTCATCTCAGTTTTCCATGAATTGGTTTTTGTAAATTTTATTTTCATAATATACGTCAGATTATTCAAATTAACCCCAACAGGACTTAAAATATATGGCAACTGCAAAAGAACCCTTTAACTACCCACTCCCCTTGAATCCGTTACATTTTTAAATCATACTGACCACCGATTTGGAAGAGCAGCCTGTCATGATCTCGCCATCCTTACAGCTAGCAGTGACCCGCTTGTCGTCGCCAATTTCTGAGTATTTCGACCATCTGGTCACACAAGTCAGTACGGCGGACGCCGTGGTTTTGGTTCCAATTTGAAGGTTAACGGTTGCCCCACTCTGCCCCAGTGTTATTTTCTTCTGGGCGACTGATGACCCGTTGTATTTTACTGTGATGGTGTAGTCACCCTTAAAACCTACAAATATTGTAAAACATGGTGTGAAGTTCCATTTTAGATTACCTTTGCAATTGGATTTTTTTTTTCTCTTCCTGACTGGCTATTAAGTATCAATCACGCCCTAATATAATTGTTATAATGTGCATTAAGTCAGACTTCCATACACCGGTACTTGCAGATGATAAAGCAATACTATTGTTCCTACTGAACAGTGGATAGCTCTAAATTATCAAAAGCATTATTTATGTTAAACATGCTAAACATTTTGAAATGTCATTTAAGCTTTACCTCTCAACCTCAGGGTGCTCGACCTCGAAATTGGTTGGAGAACCTGGTTGGTTTTCCATGTTTTTGTCATCAACTGCTTCACTCTTTCTCCTGCTGCATTCAGCTGGAAAATAAAAATGTTATGTTTTGTTTATTTTTCCGATTCTTGTTAAATAATTTTGTTGTTCACTGACGTTTATCTATTCAAAATACACAGTTCTACATCTACATATCAGTTTGAAAGCTGTAGCAACGAGAAGTTATTAATGTATACAGTTACACTTGGTGAATAGGAACCGCCTCTTTTCTTGTCTAAAAAACTGATACTCTTGGGTCGGGTTTTACGAAAGAGCTGAAGCCGACAGTTAGTGTTGAAGTTCTTTCATTTCAAGGAACTACTACACATTTAACCAATTTAATCAAAATAGATGAAAATAGCTAAGACCAACTGTTGTGTAAGATGTTTCGTGCACATTTACAACTAACCTTAAATTTGTCCCCTAGTCCATCTGCCAAATTAGCACCAGCTTTAGCATTTTTACCTCCATTGTCGTGCCATGACCACAAGATAATACCCTCGACCCCGGGGTAACTAAACAGATAGGTCATCACATCTTCATAGTAATCCGCCCTCTTTGCAACGTCGCTTGCCTCTATGTCTAATTCTGTTATCCATATGGGTAGACCGGTAAGGGCAAGTTTATCAAGATTTTGCTAGAGAGTAGAAATGCAGCATAGTGTATCATTTTTGTTGTTATATTTTTTCAAATAAACAAGCACGGAATTTGGTATTCATTCACTTAAGTTACCTGAGTTGAAATGTGCCACAATGAATATTCAATTAATTCCAATTAAACTATAAAATTATACACGTTAAACAAAGGAAAGGTTGCACTCAACTGAAAATATGCTGTGTGTCATGAAACAATCTTTAAATTCACCACAATATATCTTACCTGTATTTTGAGAATATCTGGAGGACCAACTTTCAGATGTCCCTGCACTCCAATGCCGGAGAGCGGGAGACCTTTGGCTTGATATTCCTTTATCATGTCCACATATGCCTGGATAAGTAATTAAATTGCCAACTTAATCGGCACAAACGTTTGATATATAAGTCTTTTTTCGTTTGACCCCCTAAAAATACACTTTCACGTTTTTTAACATTTGAAAACGCATACAAGGCTTATGCAGAATATCGACTGAAAACACTTTTTGTATAGTTCACTGTAGATTTCAACTGGAACAATTTGTCAGCATTTCTCTCTCTCTCCCTCTCTCTCTCTCTCTCTCACACACACACACACACACACACACACACACACACACACCACACAACAAATACACAAGCACACAAAGTCAAACAATACACTTACGTTTGTTATTGAACCGTCATTGATGACCCTGTACTCATTGTGGAACAGCTTCACGTTGGGGTCTAAGGCGTGGATTTGTTGAAACATCTTCTCTGTAATGTACCTGTCCCCAGTCTTCTGTTCAAACCAGTCTCCATGGCCAGCGATGATTTCATTGTTTACGTCCCAGTGGGATAAACTAATATGTGGCGAAGAAGGTATACTTTTATTTCGGAAAAAGAACCAACACTCCGAAAACTGCCACCCACGTTTGAGTTATTTACTGATAGGAAAGTGCCTAGTGTATTGTACTGCACGTTAAACCGTAAATCTTTTTTTTTTTTTTTGTTTTTTTTTACAAATCATCCCACGTCCTGTCGACAAGCACTTAAAATGTATTAAAGACACTATGATTTTCCTTTCGTGCCCTCAACCACACCAAACACAATTAAACATGAAAATTATGTACATCTATCGCATTTTTCATTGATCACAACACTTACTTTCCTTTAAATGTGTTGATAACACCCTTGATTCTCGTATCAAGCGCCCCCTTGATTTCTTCTTTTGATAACGTCTTTACCCACGTGGGAATAAATTGCTCCACACCCCAGACAACGTTATGTCCTCTGATCTTTTTGCTGTTATAAAAAATAATAATGTGTACATTATTGAATGAAGTTAACTGGGCTTTAGGAATACACTCTTGTCTCAACATCGGATGCAAGCTAGAAAACTGTTAAATGGGTTTTTAAAGACTGGGTTTTATAAAATCTAAATTTTTTAAAAACGCAGTTAAATATCTGTTAAAAGGAATGAGTCTTTTTTCATTCAAAATACATATTGGAATATCTTAAAATGCCCACTCACCCAAGGGACAACAGTTCTTCGATGGCAAGTTTTGGTCTCTCAGAGTTAATTGGATACTAGAATCAACGTATATAATTGCGTGAGAAATTAAAATACAATTTCAATCATTGAAATATTCGAGNGACGCAGTTAAACATCTGTCATTGTTAAAAGGAATGAAAGTCCTTTTTCATTCACAATACATATTGGAATTTCTTAAAATGCCCACTCACCCAAGGGACAACAGTTCTTCGATGGCAAGTTTTGGTCTCTCAGAGTTAATTGGATACTAGAATCAACGTATATAATTGCGTGAGAATGTAATACAATTTCAATCATTGAAATATTCGAGGATGTATCTTATAAGTACTTGGATTTTTATTTTTTATTTTATTTTATTATTATTATTATTATTATTTTATTTTTTTTTTTTTTTTGAGAATTAAGGATGTACGAAGTATGTCCCTCGCTAGTATTTAAACAAATGTATCAACAGCACAACACATGAATATGCTTTCTCTCTCTCTCTCTCTCTCTCTTTCTTACTTGGTTCCTCTGCATCATCCTCCATTTTAATGCATTAGCTATTGTAGTCCATTCAAAGGTTTCTTCGACAAACTTGTGAAATTTCCTTTCGCTTGCAGCAACAATGGCGTCCGCACGGACAGTGCCCCCCATTGCAAACTCACTTCTGATTTGCGTTACCTGAAAGGCATTCAAATTTTAATTTTTTTGGTTCTCTGTGATTATACTACTGTGTGTAATTTGAACAGTGTATATCCTAAGCGCAGCGTTTATGCAACTGGTGTAAGAAATCTAAACTGCAATGTTTTATTTTAATCATAATTAATATCTGAACAACGAACTTACCTCCACTTCTATGTCATTCAGGACATACTCATCCCCCACAGATAAACTACACAAAGAAAAAAAATAGATTTATAAATTGTGCAGTGGGTCTTTCAGTGAAATACATAAAAAAGATATTCTTATAAAAGATTTACGTTTTCAAAGTTAACATTTTATTATTTATAAAGTTGATAGTTAACGCTTGTCGATGGCCTTCTGGTAATTAACACTCCGTATGAAAATGAAAGCAAAAAATCAAACTTCATTTGTACTCGATAGATAAATCTGCCTTCCGGATTTGTTCAATTCTTTGAAGTGCATTGATTTTCCAGTTGCCAGTCAGTTCTGGGATCTGTTTCAGAGAAGCGCTGTCAAGGAGAAAAGACACTGACGGATCCGGATCCGAAAATGTAATTTCAGCCAGTTTAAAATCTGAAAATATGACACCATTTGTATTGCTCGTTATAAATTCGTATTTGCCTATGAAAAGATTTCGTGTCTCTAATCCTTGAACCTGCTTTCGATTTCCATTAAAAATATAGGAACAATCTATTTCTACCTGTATGTATCTGAAGGTGCACAAATGCACAATATATAAGGAATGGAAAGTGTATTTGCCAACAAAAGAATTACACATTAACTCCATATACTCGAATACTTCAACACTTGTCGCACGTTTCATTGTTTTTATTACTTCTCTGGCAAGTGTGTACTAGTGTGTTTATCCATCTTTCAGGGTTTTTTTTATTTCTTTGAAACTCCATTTTTCATTCACTTATTGGTGAAACTCATGTCGGACTGTACACATTTTCATATCAAGACATTTTATTTATTTAGTTTTCCATAATAATATTATAAACTGCCATCCTGCTTCGATTTTCCCTCTTTTCATTTTCGCTAAAACAGGTAGTACTAGAAAACAAGTTTTAGTGGTACGGGTCCTTTTGTAAACATACCTTTTTCAGGTGCTCTAAAAGACCCTCCAACTTCTTTCCAGCCATCTGTGGACCTCATATAAGAACCTACGGCCACTTTCTTCCATTCTTGCGTGCCTAAATGAAATAAAGCACCGCTGCTTTAAAATTAAACGTCTTTAAATATTTTGTCTCAAACAGATATATAATTACGAATTCTTATTCTTAAGTGTTGGAAACTGACATAGTGACGTTTTTTATTTCACTCTAAAACAGATTATTACAAATCACATTAATTATTATTTTTATCCTCTAATCCCTTTTTCGTGTTCACAACAACACGTCTATCATGCCATGTCATGTCACTACCACCCACGCCACCTACCGTCCGAATACCTCACGTGGAGAGTGGCTGATATCCTGGTGTGGACCTCGCCCGGCTTGTCGTTCAACAACTTCACATAGGATGTTATCTCATAAAAAGCCCCCTTGGTAAGACTGATGGACTGAGTTGGCCCGGAGTAGTCGTGCCGCCTATGATGCATGTCACACAGCACTATTTTGTCTTCAACTATGGTTTATGTCTTTTTATTTTTATTTATTTAAAAATGCATAACTTTCATTCGGTTTATTCCTTTGTTAATCTGATTACAATATTCTTTAATTTGTTAACTTGTTATCAGAGGGGACTGTTAAAAAAAACATAAATGTAAAATATCCTGTAAATTAAGATAAGACTTCTATTCTTGACCAGGGTAATTTTAATTACAAGGATGCTGATCATATAGCATTGCCTCCGATGTAGAAGCTTAGATGGGCTGTTCCATTTTAGGGGATTGAATACATCTAAGATAGGTCTGTGCTGAGCATTGTTACTGAAGTCACATAACTTAATTTTACCAAGACAAATCAAATAAAAGTTTCTTACGCCATTCCGTAGGCCTACCTTTGAGTAACTTTTCCACTGAACTTTCCAGTGTGTTTGATGGGAGATTGTTCCAATACACACTGTCGACATCGCCAATTATTGGCGAAATTATCACTTTCGATCCCGTTATTCTTGAACACCTCTTGTCCACAGAGCGATCCAGCCAGCACAGCTACAGTCCATATAAACAGGAGGCGTGGATCCATGTTCTTATACAATTAAATAAAAAAAAAATCCCATCATCTGTGTTCTTAGCTCAAATTTATAATGTTACTGAGTAGGTTCTTCTAACAACAGTTATTAATATGACTTTGAGAAGAAAGGAAATAGTTATTTAAAAAGGATACTATTCATTTTTCATATTAGATAATAACGCGTATAACAGTAACATTACACACACTCGTTACTTAAAGAAACGGAAAAGAGCTCAAGTGACAGATAACTAAAACCATTTTCACTTAATTACAAATTTCCAACGCCTCACTTATTCCGATTTATTTTTCAAGACTTGTCATTTTAGTTACCCATAAAGATATGCTTCCTGGAATGAAGCCAGCTAATTTTTCAAAATTTTGAATCAATATTTTAAACACAGTGTATTATTACCAAAATATTTTAAATCTATAAATCAAATTTTATTTTTAAATTTAATGTGTGATTGGCGAAAAATCCTCTAGAAAGATGAGTTTCCAGCGTCCTCTGAAATTTTAAACTTCTTGCAATATATACAGATTGTTCACGAAATTCACGCATGCCTTATTCCTGTCAAACATGTTCTGGACTTTGAAGTACATGTTTCCAGTATAAGGGGTGGTCAAACATTTTCGCGGAAACCACACAAAAATAAATCCCATCATACATTCCAAAATAACCTGCAGCATGATTTGTTATCAAATTAACAAAAGCTCACCTTTCTCCAATGCGTCCAACCCTACCTTACCTGTTTGGTCTTAACATCAACCACCGTTAACCGCAGCATTTAATGTTGTCATTTTATCTCAGAGTCATTATCTAGACCGTCTGTTACATCAGTCATCGGCTAGGGAACGCACACGTCTGTCACGTTTTCTGTGTTTCTATATAAAAATAGCAAACAATTTGGTTACCAATGGCACGATGTATTTTTGGGTATTGCATGTAAAAACTGCTAAGAAAACACATATTTACATTGAAGTACCCATGTGGTATCTGCATGAGGCATTGCAATCAACTTTACTTGTCAACCAATGGAGGTCTAGACCAGTAATATCATAGGCCACATTCAAAATAGGGGACTAAATAGTCTGAGGGTCGAATGTGGCCGACCCACTTGAATACTTCCCCACGGGATATCTATTCAGTGTCTATTAGCGGATTAGACGACAAGCTTTGTAGTGGCTCGCCATATTTAATCCTAGGACTAGTTAGTCCTCTATTCTGAATGGGGTCATAGACCCTATCAGCTGCACGGCGAAGCGGACTTGTCGTCATATGCTGATGAATAAGAGCACAGCTGTTTCACTTCGCATATACTTACATGGAACATCTCAAAATGCCATCTAAATGCTTTGTTGTTCGTCCCACCAGACGAAAGTTTAAGAGTCCGAAAGTCCGCAGAAGAAACATTCTGCTGCGGTTATTCTTCAAACCAGGGGGGGGGCAGTTGAAATGAACCAATATTCTTCTACGCACTAATTTATTACTTCATCTTTCCTTTGAGTGTTCAAACAGATTACTACTTCCAATCTATGTCAACATCTGATAAATATAAAAAGCGTATTTCCATCTACTACTTTACTTCTTCACGAACGAATGGATAACCAGTGGCGGACTTAGGGGGGTCCTGACCACCCCCTTTGATTTCTAAAAAAAAAATCACACCAATGGTCCCCATTTTGTTAGACCAAAGCATTTTCTGGTGCTACATGATTGTCATCGAGTTTGTCAACTTGTGTGAAATATCCTTTGCACTGAACGGCGTCCTTTCTGCGTCCTTTGTCCCACCATGAAACTGGCTTCGCTGTGGTCGTAGAAATGAGGCACAGGCATTGCTTTGGTTGCAGAATAAATGCTTAAGATGGGCCAGTTGTCGATCGGCACGTTAAGTTTTTTTTTTTTTTTTTTTTTTCAAACGGGGTCGTACTACAGGACGCAGAAAGGACGTTGTCCAGTGTAAAACAGTGTGTCCCATTTACATTTCACAAAGAATAGCTCTAACACACTGTCAAAATACGCTATTTTATTGATCTAACAGCGGGTTAGATTACTTGTTAGTTCAATCTTTTCAATTTTCTCAAAGAAAGAAGTGTCCCTTTGTCCATATAGTATCTCAGGTGTAACACAAAGGAACAAGCGAGCAAAAAATGTGTCAATACCAGGTAGAATAAAGGACAACATGGCTGCTCTACTGACGAACTTCTACTTCCTAGTTGTCTGGGTGATATTTTCAACAGGTAAAACGGACATTTTACATATAAAGATTACTTAGTTACAATGCATTTTAAGTGGTACTTTAATTAAGATCTTATCGTCAAGCATGTCACCTTTGTTTTTTTTCTTTTTGTTGGGTTAAAAGTCCAAAAGTAACATCAGTTACACTTATTAGACCGACAATTTCTATCCCCTAACATAGTTTTGAATAAAACGAAGAACAACAACAGGACAGTCACCTCCAACTTTTTGAAATATGTGATCTTTTTTTTATTTTATTTTAGTGGGGGGGGGGGGGTAATTAAGTACTTCTAGAGTATTGCAAAAAAAAATCCAGAACTTCCCCCTAAGTATATTTCTCACCCTACGGTACTGAATGATAAATGTTTTTATTGTATTGTATCTACAAACATGTATGTTGGGGCTATTTGGTAGATGAGGGTTTCTTTGGGTGCTTGTATGTCTAGTCATTTTATTTCCATTGCATATGTGGCTGTGCTGTTTGAAAGGTGATGGCTATTCATATTTACTTACTTGGCCGGGGAGTGCTGCTGTGTTCTTATTATTTGCAATGTACTACTGGTAGTAATTGCATGTATCTGTGCTATGTGGATGGTAGGATACTTTGAATGGCGGTGTGACACTGTAATTACGTATTTCTGAATACATTCTTTCTATCACCAGTGTACCTGTGTATGTGCTGTACGGAAGGTGATGGTCACTTTGGCTGGCAGTGTGACACTGTGACTGGGTGTTTCTGTAAACAAGGCCAGAGATGTCAACAGACTCTAGGAACATGTCCTGAACACTGTGTGGACAACCCCTGGGGAATAGGATGTCATGATGGTGAGTCACAGCTCTTTGGACATTATTGCAGCTATTCAACGGCGACACCATTCAAACATTTGTGAGAGTTGTTATTTTGGCTTTTTAACAACGCTGTTAGATGTCTTTAGATTTGGATTTTGTTTCTCTTTTTCCATTGATCCAATATCTTTTTATATTCTAATTATTTTAATAATGTTGGGTTAGATATTTTCAACACATATGTTTTTATTGTCTTTTTAGTATTATACATCCTATTCCGCATTTATTTCAGAGCATGGTAACCTAGCTTATGGCAAGCCAGCCAGTCAGTCAAACACCAACTTTTCTTATACAGATGATGAGTGGTTCTCGGCCACTCTAGCAGTGGATGGAAACAACAGCACGGCTGACTCTAATTGTACAAGAACGCACCATCAACCAAATACTTACTGGACCGTGGATCTTGAAGGTCTCAGTGTTATCCGTGAAGTGACAGTGATAAAACCTGCTGCAATTTGTAAGTCTTTTCTACGTTTAAGTTCTTTTTATAAGTAAGATTCTCTGAAACTGTTCCAAATGTATATGTGCAAAACATTTATGAAGTTGAAGAATAGCCTTTTCATTCGCACAATGGGATTGATTCTTTTTAATAATTGCTAATGCCAGTTTAAATTGTGGATCAATGGTTTATACTTTTAAAAAGTTATTCAAGTTAACTTCAAATACCAGTTTCATTTATCATATTTCAGATGTGTTTTTAACTAAGCAACACTGCTCGTCTATACTTTCTGCTTGTTCATTTTCTTTGTTGTATACATTTATAGGGATATTCCTAAGGAATTTTATTTGTAGGTCCGCAGAACAATGAGAAACTGTGCATCAAAAATGATACTTCGAACCATGTTAATTGCATCTCTTCTACAAATGCACAGTGTTTTGGAGGAGTGTTAAGATACAACATAAGCCCACCAATCCTGGCACGCCACGTCACGATCTTGAAAACTGGGCAACAAACTCTGCGACTCTGTGAGGTCATCGTTAGAGGATACACGTACCCCTGTAAGTTAACTCACTTTTTAACTCGCTTTTTAAAAAAGTAGGTCCGAAAGTAGTCCCACTGGTACGTAGGCCTACCTCAGTGAATCCTATACAGCATCGCTCATTTTAATTTGACACGCTTAGCGTTGCATAAAATTTGTCTACAATGTTGCGGTATGTTTATCCAGTAGGCCTAATATAATATAATATAATATAATATAATATAATATAATATAATATAATATAATATAATATAATTTCAAATTATAATCATACTATAAAGTGAAACATTTTCCCGACAATGTGAAAGCCACAGAACAAAGAATAACGTACACGTATATAATGTGAACTCATTTCTTGTTAAATTGCGATTTGTGTGATGACCTTTATCACTCACACGAATACATGCATGAAAGCGATAGGATGATTTCATTCCATTATTGTGCCTAATTCAGATAACGTGGCATTTGGCAAAAGGGCAGAACAAATTAACGTTATAAATGAAGGAGATCCAGGACGAGCTATAGACGGAAAAACGACAGCGTATTATCTTTTAGAATCCTGCACTCACACAAATGACACGCTAGACCCCTGGTGGGAAGTAGACCTAGGTCAGCAATATGTGGTGTATAGTGTGACTCTTCTTAACAGAGACGAAAATGTTCACGGAGGTGAGTAGGCTTACTGGAATTTTCCCTTTTTTTCTAAGACTAGATATGTTCGCTTTGAATTGTAATATAGGCTTTCCAGTGTCGTTACCAGACTGAATTATGTAACACATCTGTATCCACGTTGTAACGCTATCAATACGTTGTACAAGCGTTGGGCCTTTGCTTTCTTTATTAATTATTAATTCATTCACATAGGGCCTACATATATAACAGTAAACAATATACATGTTTAGTGTAATACGCGCGAGTCATCAAAAGCATATATTACAGATCTACACTTATTTACTGGGGGTAAATACCTCTATCACACTGTACAATTGCCTCTTATACCATGAATTAATGCTTTAAGTTTCAGCCGGCCGACATTTACGCGATATAGAAATATGGATAGGTAACAGCACGAGTTCAGAAAACAGCCTGTGTGCAGCGCGTGGCCCCTCAGTCCCTGATGGGGCTAGTGTAGAACTCAAGTGTCAAGGACTGCTTGTTGGTGAAACTGTGACTGTCAGTCTGTCTAAAGGCCCTTTGGTTCTTTGTGAGGTGACAATTAAAGGGTACAGATATAAAGGTAAAGCAATAAATATGATATACTGTTACGTGTCTATTTTATTAACTTAATGCTCCGTGTACAGGTGACATTCGTCCCATTTATTTACCCCAATACTCCGACTAACCTCAACCTGTACTCATCATTTGGGACCCCGGACCTTCATTCCTAGGACTACCATTCCTGTCACGCCTGACTCTGTTTTCGTCATCTAAAAGCACATGTATTAACATTAATAGGTTACCAAACCAGCAATTGCAACCTACATCCCGTTTACGCCGGGCTTGCGACCGCTCGGAGAATGGTTTGGCCCACTCTCGCCCATCGGTCGCAAAAAGTCGTCATGGGGCTTTAAGGTGGTTTCCTATTAGTCACAATGGTCAAAAGTCTTTTTATATCGCTTTTGGTTTGCATTTTTTTTCGGACCGCTTGCTTAACTCCTACAACCAGTATCCATTGCAAGAAGGTGCCATGATAACTTAACAATGGTTCACGTCTACAATGAGTGAAAGCAGGTTTTTCGATGTTGCATAGAAACACCATGATATCGTACCGGTTGACTTATAAAATCAAATACCGATAAGACCAATACCGATAAGACACCAATTTTGTCTTTTAACTAATAAATGAGAAAGAAAACCACATGTAAAACACTTAAAACTGTTCACATCTCGTTTAGAGGTTAAGATGTGAAAGCAGCTCGAAAATAGGTTTTTGTCGTCTGTCATATTTAGCAGTTTGCATCTTGTTGAACTGAAACAGAACGCCACAGTGTTAATGCTTACCAACAATGTAAAGAATGCGTAAAATTATCCGTGAGTTTCCAGCGAGTGTTCAGTGGTTAGTTCAATGTTTTTCAGAGTGTGCTAATAAAAAATATGGTCCTGAATGTCGAAGCAGATGTAACTGTAAGGATGAGAATGAACAATGCCATTCTGCGACTGGGTCTTGTGTTTCTGGTTGTGCAGTGGGATGGTACGGCCGACACCAAGGGGATTGTGAAATAGGTAGTGTAATAGTTACAGAGTAAATTATCTATTTGACTTAATATCTTATGATGCACTATGTTGTTGATGGTCCGTATACTATTTTAGTCTATGTATATATAGACACTGTAAGTGTCTGTATATATTCTGATTGGTCTGTGTGTCCGCGTCGTCGCTGTCGCTGTCCGACACATGACATTCGCCCCATTACTGACAAACTGTATAGCTGTTTTCCATTAAATTTACTGAGTGGCTATGTTTGGTAAAGAGGCTCCCGAAGAGGTTGCTTTCGAAAACCGGCTTGATCGGTTTACATTAACGTTAATTATTCTGGTTTCTTGCACAACTTTGGTGACGTTCGTCCCATTACTGCAAAACCGTATTTTCGTTTTACTTTAAAATTTACTGAGTGGCTTTGTTTGGTAAAGAGGCAGATTGCTGTCAAAAATCGGCATGATCGGTTTAAATATACGGTAATTAATTTTTTTCACACATTAGCATTTTCAGCAGCTTTTTTATCCTTGGAACTGAATCACTTGCTAGTTTTTCAGTGTCCATGTTACCTGTAAGAGGGTAAGAGTGATTATGCTGTTGTAAAGCATTATGTAACAGTGCATCAAAATTGGCCAAAACATTATTTGGTGCACTTTTTTTCTGTATAATATCTGAACATTTGTCAGCTTTGCTGCCTTGTTTCCTGTATGGTGTCTGTATATTTGCCAGCTTTGCTGTCTAGTTGTTGATTGCTCCATATAACAAACTCGCTGTTTTGAAATCTTAATATATTGTGGCTCTTAGGACAATGTTACAAGGCTTTTTCCAAAGGCTTTGAAACTAGCTGTACTTGATCCATGTCAAATCTAATGATGGATTTTTTGCCATTTACAACAGCAAGCCCATACATCGCTACAGCCCCAACAATAGTTTCGAGGACAAAACATTCAGTCACCATCAGGTGGGAAAAGTGGTCACCCGAGAAAAACCAAGGAATTGGCACCATCCAAAGCTATGGCATTTCGTTTAGGCGAGAAGGAGAACCGATCAAGGAAGTGACAGTGTCGCCAGATAACGATATAGTAACAGTGCAGGGTCTAGCTGATTACACGGAATACAATGTCTATGTCACCGTCAGAAATGGCACAGGACATAATGGCATGCCCAGTCCAATAATTACTGTGAGAACATGTGGGGGTAATCAAATTTTCATTTACATTAACATTGAATTTTAATGAAAGAGCAACATATGTTTTCATCAAGCGAAGAAAAAAGGAAATTGTCAAAAATAAAAAAAAACTGCAATACCCTCTATATTCCTTTTGGTTTTTCAGAACCTGTGGCACCCCCTGAGCCGCTCGTATCTTCTTATCTTCAATTAACGAAGAGATCCGCCTACATAGAACTACGAACAGTGGTGTGTTTGTTTGGTGTGGTTAAAGTTTTCATATATATATATATAAAGTAAAAGTGTTTTTCCTGTACGAGTATATATTATATATAATAAAAAGAAAAAAGAACAGCAACTATTTTGCCCCGACCGGTTTCATTCTTTCTTCAGGGTTTTTTTTTGTTACTAGGTGATGTCATAAAGGCTAAAATTTGACGTCTGTAACAATTATAAACACATTTTAGCCTTTATGACATCACCTAGTAACAAATAAACAAATAAACCCTGAAGAAAGAATGAAACCGGTCGGGGCAAAATATTTGCTGTTATTTTTTCTTTTTATTATATATATATATATATACAATTATATATATTCGCTTACTTTATTTTTTATCGTTATATAATTATTTTTATCCGAATCATTAGTCTAAGGACCCCTTTCTTTATATTAGGGAATGAATCGAACGATCCATAGATGCGATGGGTTTGCAAAATTGAATGTACGCTTCGAAGGAGAATTTGAAGGTTCGCTATCGGGAGCCATATTATTGCCACAAGTGAATGAAACGCAACTGATTAATATTACCAATCTAGCAACATTTAATCGATACACCATTTATCTAACAGTAGTGAACAACATACTGCTGGAAGGGCCACCAGTGACGATGTTTCATACTACTGCTGAAGGACGTAAGATTCTTACGGAAAGTTTTATTGGCACTTACTAAGACAGCAATAAGCTTTTTAGTTGTCATAAATGCAATGTCAAATCTTTAATTCCGAGTAGTAAACGTATAATTGTACAATATATGTTTGTATAGAATCCCATCGGTGTAAACTGTAAGTAAGTAAAATCTCTTAATTTTATATTCGCAATTTTCGGAAATTGTGATTTTTATTATTATTATTGTCAATGCCTGAAAATGTCTGTTTCAGTCCCCAACAAAATGAGACCACCATTTGTTAGAAATGTAGACGACAGTTCAATAGAGTTAGAATGGAGCGCGCCATCTCCCCCTGGTGGCAAAATCACCGAATACGAGATATCATACTGTCTCTATGGTTCCCCCTGTAAACGGATATCAACAAGTCCCGGCACCAATAGGACAACTATTGATAATCTGTTGACACGGACATCCTATATCATTAAAGTAAGTTTTAATATTTTGCACGAATAGAGTGTATTGTGAAGTTTTTTTTTCAAATTTTGACCATATATATATATATATATATATATATATATATATATATATATATATATACCTGTGTATATATGATCTGTACCTCCTTTAAAATATCAAAGTCACATTAGGATATTTATTTCAACCGTGTCCTTTCTCATCGCTTTATAGATTCGTGCAAAGACTGCGGTTGGTTACGGCGAGTATAGTGACCTCTTTGCTCAGCATACATCACTCGATTACTCAGGTATATTTCCCTACCTTTAATACATCTTCCTATTTCAAGTCTTATTTCTTTATTTTCTCAGATGTAATTTCATCTCTATTTTCCAATTACGTTTGCCACCTTGGTACATTCTCCAAAACTCTAACCTCACGAGCAAAAAAAAAAATAATTAAACATAAAGGAGAATAATTAAAAAAGATGTTGTAAGTATCAAACTAAAGCTATTTTGTTTCTAGATTTTATCAGTTTGGTGCAACTTACATACATTGCATACCATGTTTAAAACATTGATAATCCTTGATTTTACGACCAAATGCGAGAAATAATATTAGATATCGTATTGAAACTTTCTGTTTTGTGGTGACTTTAATCCATTTCTAAAACATGTGATGGACACGAAAAACTATGTGAACGTAAATAACCCCAGAGCTTTAGAAAAATCAACTTGAAATTATGAATGACCTTTATATTTTTTATCATTTTAGGAGATTCAATTACAGTAGTAAATAACTCGCAAGGTAAGCTATATTAGATCTATTTTATAGTAGCAGATAACTTCCAAAGCTCAGAATCTGATATTTTTTGTTAATATATCGTTCCGGTCTGATTATTCTCCGGTACTTTCAAAATTAGAACAGGGAAACTGAGTATTCAACCCCAGCCTTCTCGATTAACGGATTTGCGAGAATAAGGATACTAAAAGAGCTCAAAACGCAACATGCAATCCCAGTGTGCATCAACAATTAAATTTGTTTTGTGGGTTACTTTGTGTTACTTAAACATCTGTTGTATTTTCTTGTTTTGTTTAAAGCGGTAAAAAGTTTGTTTTAAGCGGTAAAAAATACAGCTGAGGAAATGTAAATGTGGACTTACTATGTGCATATATGCACATTTCATTATAAGTATAGCAAATAAACTGTCACTGTTAACACTTACTTGCATGAACGACGAGAACTTCTGACATACAATGTAACTGTATCTTTACTCGATGTGATTTTTTTATAGATTCGACTGCAATAGTTGCAGGGATTTTGGTGGCCGGAGCAATGGTGGCGGCGGCCATTGTCATCGCTGTCGTTCTCTGTCTCAGGTTGCACATTCAAATGATTTGAATATTAGAGAATCTTGTGGTCGTATTCAAAAAGACAATGTTGATGATAGAAATAATTGAATTGAAACCAGTGTCATCTTTCGTATACAAGACAAGCATTTATATAGATGTATACTTATTGGAGATCACTGTAAACTGATCATTTTATCACAAGTGAATTTTTATTTGTAAATCAATATAATTATTTAAGTTTATGGTATGCATGTATTGCATGTGTTTGTAATCAAATGTAAATGAAATATAAATGCATTTCAAACTTCCTTGGTGTTCTCTGTTTGCAGGTACAGAAGACAGGTTCCTTCGTCTGAAATACAGGCAAACGTTGGTAGGTGAAGGCGATCGAGGTTTTTAATAAGGAATGTGCAGTTTTGTTCCTTAAAGTATCTTTTTTATATAGGTGTAGGAAATATTTTGTTAAGATTTCTTTCTCGATCTATACTTCTACCGTGTATTCTATAAATTAGTGGAACATGAACAGTAATTCAAGCTTGTTTTGTCCGTTTTAATTTGCAAGTGCAGTGGAACATGCAGTGGTATACAACTTGTAGGCCTATTGGATGTCTTGTATTACAAGTATCAGTACGACCACGCGTGAGTACGGCTAACGTGCGGTATCCATACTTAAACCTTACCTTGGTGCATAGGAAATCAATTCAAGTATTTTTTATGCTTTGTTCAAGCCTCAGCAAGCACAACCTCCTCCCCGGATACGAATGAGGCGTATTGCAACATTGACGTGGCATCTGTGAACCGTGATGAGCCAGACTACTGTGAGCTTCAACAGGATGGAGATGGTGTCAAGTATGTGCGCGTGTAGTCACGTGTAAGTTTCGAAAAGATTTAAATTTACATGATTGGAAAGCTGTTTGTTGTGGGAATGATATAAGGCACACGAAAATGACATACGAGCGTACTGCACGAGCGTCGTGAAATTATATGCAATATGTAAGCAATAATAAACTTAACGGATGATATGTTGATGCATCTCAATAAATAAATTGGCATGATTGGCATCACCAATGAATTAACGAAAAAAAACGAAAAAAACGAAAAAAGAAGGAAAAACGATAAGTTGACAAAGTAATGTGCATTAAGAAGAAACAAGCATGTACCAGTGTATGCGTTGGTTTCTCATCACCGTGATGAAAACATCTTTTGGCAGAATAAATGCTTATACTTCCTCCATATGTATGTTAACTTGGAAACGTGCATTGGATTTATGTATATTTTGCTTTAAGTTTCCTTTCAGGTATGTAAAGTTGTAAAGTGTAAAGTTTTTGTACATATTTATGTTGAATCAGGGCCGTAGCCTGAGCAAAATGCCAGGGGGGCAGTAAGCGGATACGAGGGGGCGAAGCCCCCGGGGGGGGAGGGGGTGTCCCCCTACCACGGTGTGGAAAATTCCATTTCCAGGGGGGGCAACTGCCCCCGCCCCCCCCCCCCCCCCCCCCCCCCCCCCCCCCCCCCCCCC